CTTGCAATTATAACAGAGTAGACTTTGACTCTCTGTGTGCTTTGTGAAGCCGATTTTATTACCGTTTCTTTTTCAAACTGTTTTCAGCGGTTCCGTTTTCATTTTTTATTTGCCACTCCGACAGTATTCGTCACGATTTTCGTTTAACATGCACGATTTGACGACGTTGATATTCGAGAGAAATTCTTCGATTATAAAATAAAAATTGAAGCTCCACGACAAGGAGGTTAAAAATGAAAGAAATTCGTATATTAATCTTTCCCGCTTCACATAAGGAGAACCATTTAATGCAAATGGCGATGGCAAGTTGTTCTTAAAATTTTAAGTAAGGTTCTTTGAATTTTATTTTCCTCTGCAATGTACTAACTTGCCAAATAACTTTAATTAAATTTCGCTCTACAAAGCTCTTTTTCCTTTCTGTCCGGATATTTTGTACTTAGAATATCTATTCTTCTCGCATTATATTATTTCTGCAATTTTATATCGTTTAAAAGAGATCCCTAACTTTTGCAGAAGCAGAAACCGGAAAATTTCGTTTAAAAGTTACAAAAAAAAAAAAAGGAAAAAGAAGGGAGGGAACTTTGGAAAACGTGATCAAAACGCATAAATAATAGACGAGATATTCTGTATAATTCACCAGACAATATTTATTCAGACGACCTCACAACTCCCAAGCGTACAAAACGACGTGCTCACTGGGCAATATGCGGGGCTGCGTATGTATTCTTGCAATTGTAATACAGTACACTTTCGGTATGTTCGTTATTTTTTTCCGTACAATGTTTTTTTTTTATTTTCTTATTCCTTATTTCTTATTCATTCCACCATTCAATATTATCATTTATTATTATTATTATGATTTTTTTTTTACGTTTTTTTCTCTTCATCCCTATATCTTTGCTGTTTTGCGCTCTGCCTTGCACTGTTTATCTGTCTGTTACTCGCTCTCTCTCTCTCATACACACACACACACACATATACACACACGCACGCACGCACGCACATCAAGTTTCCACCAAGAAACAACAGCTGCTTGCATCCTCCGTTTTCTTAATGGATAGAGAAATATATCATACTTTATGTATCGTTTACTATAATAATCATTATGTGTAGTTTATGCATAACAAGTATTACGAATATCAATGCTAGTTCGCTTGCGGGGACATATCCAGGATATTGAGGACTTGAGGACAGGGATTGCGAGAGAAATTCGGGGGGCAAAGGACAATTATACTTGGACAAACTAGGCATTCGCTGAAGAGGATAAGTGTTGATCGATCTGTCGATGATAGCTCGAGATATGGAAACATCGTAGCCGGTGCACACGTGAACATTTTCCATTTGACAAGGGCTACAACAACGATGGTTCGCGGATGACAACTGTTCGCTAAGCTGCTGGATTGGTTCTCTAAGCTGAGGGGAATTGGCTAATCTGTTGCAGGAAGGAAACAAGGGGGTGTTGGTTTCGAAGCAAGACAGATTCAAGGGTGATAAAACGAGTCGAGGGGGAGCGTGTGATTTACGTATGGTTACGTCTATGTTCGTGTGTGTGTGTGTGTGTGTGTGTTGCGTGGTGATACACAGCGGTAAAAGGGAGCAGGGAATGACTTTGTCCTCGAGTACAATAAATACACAGAGTGGTTTCACTACGAAGCTTCTTCGGGGTTGTGTGTTACGTGTGTTGAATTTGCCTGCGTGTTTTTGCGGAACAAGGGGGATTCGAACGGTGCTGCGCTCAAAATAGTAGCGAGACAATGGTTTTTCATGCGTGCCCGTCGAGCAAATTCTCCTTTCTTTTTTTTTTTTTCCTTCTTTACTTTCTTCGCCGTTGCTCGTTTGCTCTACCATTTTTCATTCTATCACATCTCTCTCTCTCTCTCTCTCTCTCTCATATTTTCGTATTACTCGTGCATGTGTGATACTAGCTAGTAGTTATCGTTTCTCATTCGCTCTTTCACGATCTGTAATTCTGCGTTTCGGTCTGACTAATGCATCTTCCGTGTCCGTACGCGTGTGTATACGTTACACGTGGTTGTGTTACATATTAAAGCGTGTGTCTCTTCGTGTATTTCCTCTAAATTGTTGTTGTTGCTGCGTATTTCTTTTTTTTCTTTTTCGCCACGATTCGCTGTTTTACATTTCTCCGTGTGTTTTTTCTTCTCTTGTTCTATGCCTTGTCTCTCTCTCTCTCTCTTGCACCGATATGATACATACTTCTCGGCGTCGACTGTACTACGGGGGGCATAAAGGGGTTGGGGCGGGCGTCTCAACAACACGTCGGCGGCGGCCCGCCGCGCATATTCTTCGCACTGTACGTTTTTTTTCATCTCTTGTTCACGCTTGTTCACTATTCTCTTCCCTACATATCTCTCTCTCTCTCTCTCTCTCATTCTCTCTTTCGCGCGCTCTCGTTCACACTCTCTTCACTTTTTCACCGAGCGTTTCGTTTTTCTCGACGAAAAAAAAAAAAAGCAAAAAACCCGTCCACTCGTGCCTTCCTAGGACTTAGCCTTACGAATCTACTATTTACACTGCGCCGTTGTTGTTTTGTTTTTTACGGTTTCTTTAATGCCGAATTGCTATACACGCTTCGTTTTTTCTCCGAGATTTCCTTTCTTTCCCTCTTCTTTCCTCTCACTCACGCACACGCACGCATCTCACACGCTCTCCCATCTCATCGTCATGCCTCTCCTCTCCATCTCTCTGCAAACGTGTTCCTTCCACGTGTTTATGCGTTTTATACCCGCGTACGTACGTATTCGTTTGCCTGTGTGTATTTCACTCGATCCATCTCTGTCTTGTAACGACACGTGACTCCACGTGTGAACGCGTTTCGTCGCGTGTTCTTTTCTACTTTTTCCCCCGTATTTCCTCTTTCTTTTCTGCTTCTTCCCTGTTTCTTCGTCTTTCACACAGCGAAACAACACCCGGTGGCTGTGCTCACGCGTTTCTCGCGAGGAAGGAGAAACAACTCGACACGAGCGGGTAATTTTGAGGGTAAGATTAGAAGCGAGACAGAGGTGGTTGTATTGAAAACTCGTTTATTGAATGGAGACGGGAGACACGAGACGTTTTTTTTTTTAGCTTACAATGGTACTACGTATTCGTCTGATTGCAAACTCTGGTGGCCGCGGCGGGCCGGGTCAGTCTCATATACACATGTTCTCAACGAAACATCGTCTTTTCTTTTTCTTTCTTTTTTTCTTCAATCATCTTTTTGAAATCGTTTTGAAATGCGCGCTTCTCCCGACTGCGAGGATGCAGCCGACCGATCTAAAAAGAAAAAAAAAAAAAAAAGAAAGCTGTCTGTTTTTTACCTGTTTCCTTCTTTCCTGCCTTGACATTGTTGCTTCCTTCTTCTATTACATTCTTGTATACATTTTCTTTTTTTTTTTTTT